AAAATTTTTTCCCCCCCCCCCCCCCATCAAAGTAGACTGATATGCTTGGCTATATTTGTAAAACTGTTTGGAATGGTTACTATTATTATTATTATTATTATTATTATTATTTTAGTAAATAACAAGTTAAATGTCATTATTATTGGCATAATTCAATTCACTGTTTGAATATAAACTCTTTCATAATAAAAGCTTCCTTCCTGGGTTTATCCACTTCATTATTATTGCTCTGATATGTAAGAGTTCTCATTGAAAATTCCTCCACTGAGAACTCAAAAGAATGTCATGTTTCTTTTATAAGAATAAGTAGATATAAGAAAAAGGAAAGGCACATTTTTATGATGCAACATTTTTCAATAATTCATTCTTTATCAGTATGCCCTTATTTTTAAGGTCACAAATTAGCTGCAAAGATTGATAGTCTAATAAAAATCCTATCACTTCAGTTTACTTGGGACAAATTCAGTCATTGAAAACTGTGATCCTTCAGGTCCATTTTATAGATTTGGTGATTTTTAAAGTGAATGTTTAGAATATACTACCTATAATGCAAGGAAAAATATGTTCTCCTTGTTAACAGCAAGATATTAAAATCATTTAAACCTACTTAGTAACACACATACATTCAATAATGGAGAACCTTAGGCTTACACTATGTCTTAAAAGTTTTCAGAGTAGTAATAAGATATCTCATAGAATACTTTTCTGAAGATGCAAATAAGGAATCCACTTCAAGTGAATATATACATAAGCCTGCATTTTATACTTGTATGTAAATACAATGTGTCTGTAGGTGAAATAAATCAAGTAAAACTAGCAATAAAAATTTAACCATATCAAAATAGAAGTGGGGAAAACATACTAAACTTGTATTTGCTACCTTGTTCATATTCACTGCCTTAGTAAATGAAAGGCCTAGCAGTTACACTGTCCAACAGACCTCGTTTTAAACTGAGGGTACACCACTTACTAGTCCTGAACTCTTGGGCAGTTATTTAACTTCTAAAGAAATACAGTGTAGTAATTACGAGTGGAGTTGAAATTCATAGACTGGGTTCAAATCCCAGTTCCACCACTTATTAACTATGTGGTTTGGGGGAAAGCCACTTAACTCCTATATGCTTTCCTCACGTGTAGAAAAGGTTTCTACACCTCACAGGGTTGTTTAAGGATAAGTTAATACCCATAAGGTGCTTCAAACAGTGCCTAGTACATTATAAGGACTTAAATAAATGTCAGATGTTTTTATTAAGGCTGTTTCCACATTGAATAAAGAGAAATAAGACTGCTATAGTAAGTTAGAAATGCACGAACGTAACATGACACATACACTAAGTACTCAATAGGTAGTAGCTACTATTATCACTAGAAAATAGAATGATACTACGGTTGATGAAAAGGAGGATGGCAACACTACCAGTCATTCAAGAGCTCAATTCACGAAAAGTGGTAGTCATCCTTGAGTCTTTCTTTCTCATCTTCCCAAGCAATTAATTACCAAGTCCTATAACCCCTATATCCTCAAAAGCTATCCCTTTTTCTCCATTCTCACTGCCACTACCTTATAAAATTCCTCATGCACGCTCCACAAGACCAATGCCACAGCTTCCTATCAGTTGCCCTGACTCAAATATCGCCTCGCATTTCAACACATTCTTCACACTCCTAGCTGAGTTTGTTAAAAAACAAACAAACAAAAAATAAAAACACAGAAGTTTGATCATGTCACTCCCCTTTAACATCTGCAATCAACCTGGAAGCACAGAACAATTCCTTCACCACTTTCGTACTCCTACCTAACGACTTAATGCTTCCCCTCCGTAATTCAACTCCCATGCCACTTTGTCCATTCCCTGACGTCTTGCCCCATCCCACCCCCATTTTTTTCCTCCCAGCCTGGATGAACTTTAGAATCAGTCTCATAAAAGGTATGCTAACACTTAAAACCTACATAGCTTACCATTTGATTCTAAGAGCTGGAACTGAAGATCTGAACAAAAGGCCATGTCTAACTGAAAAATTTACGGTTCTACAATTTCAGCTTTTGGTCAAAAACAAATAGTGAAAGAACTTTTTTAAAAACTTCAAAAAACTAAGTGTTAAATTTTCAGCTCCTGGTAATTCAGCCATTTTCAAAAGTGAAACCATAGGTTTTCTGCCTCCCAGGTTTTAAAACAAATCACTGACAAATATAAAATTCAATTGAAAGGAGCATTATACTTCAAATGTGGAACTCATGTATATTCTTTTGCCTGTATTATTTGTATTTATTTCAGGTACTGCTTTTTAAACAAAAGGTTATTTTCATCTATTTGGTTTCACTCTATAATTAACACAGCCTTTTAATAAATCTTAGGAATGACTCCTCCATGTGGAGATCAGCTTACATAGATCCTCTTTTACTAACCAGTTTGGCAAGTCATTTAAGTTTCACCATGCTTAAAATGATAAAGTTGAACTCTCAACATGACAATTACAACTTCATACCTATAAAGCTAAGTAAGTAAAAAGCTGACTCTAAAGTAACAGAAAAGTTCACAACAAAATATATAAGTAAAAAAATAATATTTCTAAGAAACAGGGTTTGAAAATCTTAAAGTAAGATTTTATAAATTGAATACTTTAACAATTTTAGGGCAACTAATCAATTTAAGATATAGTATGCCTCTAAAACTTTTTAAAAAGTTTTCAATGAACCAGGTTGCTTATTAAATAAGTATTAAATGTTTAAACATCAACAATTTGATATACAATTACACTTGACTCTAATTGGTAATATTAGAAAATAAAGAGGGTCAATTTATTGTGAGAGATGTTTATATCAGAAAAATGAAAGCTGAGATGAATTATTAACGTAGTAATTTAGATACTGCTATTATCAATGCTAATCATTAAAAAAAAGTTAACCTGTAATCAAGCAAGCAATCAGTTAAACAAAACTTTTCTAAACTTAGAAACAAAAGTTTCAAGCTCTTTAATATTTTAATAGTATTCCAACCTCTAATGAGACTCACAATGATGGGTAAATCCTCAATGTGAGCATATTCTTATTTACTCAATATTTTCCTTCTTTCTGTATTTGAATAAAAGACACAAATGCAAAAGAATAAAATAAGTATTTGAAAAATCTAAAAAATCATGTCATAGTGGGAGGGAGGCTGCTAGAAGATGCAACTATAAATATAGCTATATATCATACAACTGTTAGTGGGTCTTTCCACTTTGTCCTAAAAAATATATCCAAGAGGAGTGACAAATCTACTCACCTGATATAGTATTCACACAAAAAATCACGTTTGTGGTTCTCTCGTGAAAAGCAATCATTTGCTTAAAAAAGATTCTATGACTTCATTACCCTTAACTGAGGGTAGGTCTCCAGTGTAAAATAAAATAATAAATTCACTATGAGGTGGACAATCTAGCAATTAAAGATTTTAAAAATATTTTCATTCACTGGCAAGCTCATATAGATTTAAAAATTAATTTAAGCATTTTACTATTAAATCTTCTACAGTTTAACATTACTGATATTGAAAATCAAGTAAGTTCTTGCTCAACATGATTAATTTTGCATACAGCATGAAGAACATTAGACATAAAATTAAGAGACCTAGGTTTTCGCCCCAGCTTTGGTTGGCTTTAGTGTCCTCGTGTGTAAAATGAGAGGGTAGACTAAAAAATTCCTAAATATAAATGTGTAAAAACTCTGCCCTTGATTTTATCTCTAACAATTAAATCTTTTTTTCTCTTTTTGTATATGTATAGTACAATGGTAATTCAAAAAGTTAGTGGAAAAATAGAATTAAAAGATAGTACGAATCTTTCCATGAACTTAAAGTTCAAAGTTTCAAAAAGTAAAATTATATAGCTTAATATAGGTTTCCATTTCTCTTTATATATATGAAACTAAGAGCCTATTTTTATAGAATACTATCCAATAACAACTAACTTTTGTGCTGTGTTTTTTATTTTACAGAAATGGGAGATATTATCATCACCCCAAGTCTACAGAATAGAAAACTGAGGCTCAAAGAGTTGTTAAACATGGCTATGTCTTTTGGCCCTTTTTAAAATAATCCACATTTTACTAAATCAATAGTCTACAAAATGGTTCAATGGATTTTGGTTTTTATAGTTACCTGACTCAGAAGCTGTCTTGGAATTATAATCCAACTAAAGGAAAAGAAAAAGGTTTTTGTTTTTAACCAAAAGTTGATGGAATTCAAAAGGAGATTTTGACTCTAAATATCCTACATAATATACCAAAACACACAACTGTATTATATATTGGGATGGCTGGTTAGCTCGGCTCATTAAAGCATGGTACTGATAACACAAAGGTCAAGGGCTCGGATCCCTGTACCAGCCGGCCACCCTAAAAACGAACAAACAAATAAAAATCTATGTTACATATTATTAAAGTCACATTATGATTTTCAACAGTGAAATTTAGAATACACACCAAGATTTTAAAATAGTATATACAAACAGAGGAGATGTAATAATAAAAATAATCAAGATATAGAACTCAAAAAAAAAAAAAAAAATCAAGAGGTCTGACAGATTTACCGGATTCCAAAAGCATGTGCAAAGTTTAGACACTGGGATATATTCTTTTCTCTATTCGAACTCTTTAATATCATACTTTTAAACACGAAATAGTGATTATTGTAAATATCTTGATTTAAGCTTGTATTTCTAATCAAAGCTTTCAAAATGCAGGGGCCCAATTTACACAATCAACTGAACTATGCTCTAGACTGCTTTCCGAACTACCTCGGCATAGCTAACACAATAAACAGTGTCCAGTATTTAGATAATTACATCTTAGGTCTTGAGTTAACTTTGGCAGTCCACAATAATTTTTTTCTTAGCAGAAGACGATGAAGAACTACAAGGTGAGACAGATGCTGTGCTTTACTTCTGGATAATAGGAAATGGTCTCTTTTCTTCAAAACCTTTTGCAGTGAGCTGGAGCAGTCCAGTCAGTCACTCTTGCTAATGCATCAGTTCACTGTTGTTAATAAGGAACTGAGAGAGATGTTATCCTCCTCTCTCTCAAATTAGTTTTATTTTCATTTTTTGCATTAAATCGTATTTTTTATTTTTTTATTTTTTTCCCTTTTTGTCTTTTTTCGTGACTGGCAACGGATCGCAACCCTCAGTGTCGTGCCCATACCGGACCGGGACCGGCAACAGGATCGCAGCCCTCAGTGTTGCTCCCGCACCTCGCTCAGCCAGTGAGCGGCCGGTCTGTATGTGGGATCCGAACCCTCGGCGGGAGCGCCGCCGCACTTCCCAAGCGGCGCACTGTAGCAGTGTGCCACCGGGCCAGCCCTGAAATGTTCCTTTCTAATTCAATGTTTGATATCTGATGGATTTGTTAATTTAAATGTTTTATCTGTTATGAAATTATAACAGTAAAAGTTTTTCTAGCAAGTGCCACAAGAATTTAGAGTAATTAGCAAACCATCAGGGCCAAATTACAAACAATGGCTAAGGCAAAAATTCAAATACTCACTTTGTTATTTTGTGTCACAAGAATACTTCCACCCCCAGGTTTCAAAGGCACCTCTTCCATTGCTCCAAACACATCAGTCTCAACAGAAAAAGTTAGTTCTAGACCCAGATCACTAATATCATTATCTAAAATCCATTGCAAATTTTTGGCGTATTCTGGATCAATGGATGCCACATCTTGGTAATTTACAGGAATACCTAAAAAATGCAAATATACAGCAGTTATTGTCTAAATGTTTCTGCTTTTCCTCATCTGTTTAATGGTAAAATACTGCCCTCTAAAGACACTGTGAAAAACTGCAAAATATCATCCAATTCACAGTATGTTTTAAAGGAATGCTAATTCCTGAATTAAGAAGTCTGTTAAATTAAGCCTATGTTTCTTCCACATATTTACAATACAATCTTTCTTTGAAAAAGCTATTCAGGAAATTATTATAAACTTCAAAAGTTCCACTTATCTAAAATGCATTCTCAGCATAAACATACACACACTAAAATGGAAAAAGAAAATCTTTTAGCAGAAAGTGTTTAAAAAAAAAGTCATTATTTTCTCTCCCTCAGGCCCCCAATTACCTTACACACACAAATGGTCTTCAATCAAAATAAAAATTTTGATTTTTATCACTCATCTACTTAGTTTTCCCTAAAAACTGTAAGAAAAACAATGTAAATAAATTGTCTATAGCAAAATAGTCTTACCAAGAATATGCTTATAGAATGATCGTGTGAAATAAATATTGACCAGCTGCCGATGGTTCAAAGCTAATCCCAAAATCTGTCCAGCAAACCGGAAATAGTTCAAGTGATCAGGATTTACATAGGAGTTGCTATTAGGCTGAAATGTTGTTCCTATGGAGATAAATACAAAAAAATTTATTGTTAAGAATCTATGCAAAAGAGAGAGCCAGTGCAGGTAAATTAATTCATATATAACTTCAGCAAAGCTAAGGTTACATTATATATAAACCTCACAGGAATGTTATTTGTGGAATATATAATAGGCAGTATAATCGGAAGTACAGAGATAATCATTAATTCACACTTATACTTTATCAGGGTAAGTTTATGTGCAGAGCAAAAATTTCACAACACTTTTGACTGAAAGTATTTGGAAAATCATCAAAGAGATCCTGGAAATAATACACTAAAAGATCACACACACATGCACGTTTTCCTAGGCAGTGTGGTAATAAGTACTAGACTGTGAACTAGAGCAGACATTGTCTCATTCATCTATACATGCCCAGTGCAGTAGGTATTTATTAGCATTTGCTTCGTAAAAAATAGAACACTAAGAGGATAACTAAAAAATTTAAATGTACAACTCTACAAGTCTTCTTAAGTGACATACCTAGTAAATGAACTTGATGCCTGTTAACAATGATCAGAAAATCACTTAAGTCCACAAATCAACCAATTATTCCTTATGGCAAATAATCAAGTTTAAACAGTTACCACCAAAATGAAAATAAAAATGTCAAAAGGCAATAGTTAATACTATCAAAACCTAGTGCAGGGCCGGTCTGGTGGCACACTGCTACAGTGCGCCGCTTGGGAGTGCGGCGGCGCTCCCGCTGAGGGTTCGGATCCCACATACAGACCGGTTCCCACTCACTGGCTGGGCGAGGTGCGGGCGCGGCACCAAGGGGTGCGATCCCGTTGCCGGTCCCGGTCCGGTACGGGCGTGACACTGAGGGTTGCGATCCGTTGCCAGACACGGAAAAAAAAAAAAAAAACCTAGTGCAAAGGAGTATAATTCCACTTTTATGAAATATTCAGAATAGGCAAATTTATAGATAGAAAGTAGACTAGTAATTACCTGAGGCTGGGGGGGAAGGAATAGGGAGACACAGAGTTTCTGCTTGGGATAATGAAAAAGTTCTAGTGACAATGGTTTCACAACACCATAAATATACTTAATGCCACTGAACTGTACATTTTCAAATAGCTAGAATTGAAAATTTTAAGTTATATATATTTTACCACAATAAAAAATGTCTCAAAAAAAATCTAGTGCAATAGGAAAACCTAATGCCTAGACTTCAATTTTAAATAACTCTCCTTCCCTATTTTTCTGTGATGACCACTAACACGGATTACAAATTCATTCACTCATTCAACAAATATATAATGAGATCATGCTATGTACTACTATTCTAGACACCTGGACTAAAAAATTAACTGATAAATTTAATGAAATAGCATTGAAGAAAAAGTGGAAAAGTACTGTAAAGTGAAATGTTTGGTCATTTAGTATTCATATTTTGACAATAAATCAATGTTGACACTGAATTAAATTGCCATAACCAGTTTACTTAGATGTAAGGTACAAACTTGGAAGCTTATGGTTGAATGACACATGAAGCTCATCATTCACTGGTAAGTACCTTTTGAGAATAATACCTAGACATGAGGCAAGATTGTATTATAAAAACCCAAAGCAAGGCTTTGTGAGATAAAGAAAGACTTTAAAGACAAACATAACCATGATTCCAAAAATATAATATTCTAAGAATAAACACAAATATTTTTAACTTGTTAAAATAATGAACGCTCAAGGTTACTGATGAACCAGCAAAGATTTTTGATGACTCTACTTTTCTACCCTAGCTCTGTATATAATTCCTTCTCTATCCAAGTATTTTCTGGGAAATCTAGGTTCTTAAAAAAGAATAGATAAGGAGAAATTAAAAGGGGGGAAAAAAGGAAACAAATGGGGGGAAAATCTGCAAGAAAGGAATGATAGTTTTTAACTTGAACACTAGTTAAAACAATATGACACACATGTTAAATTTTAAGTTCAAAATAAACATACCTGTGACCCTCCCAGCTATTTTTATGATCTCAGAAAAATCCAACTGCACAAGAAAATAACATTTTCACAGAATAACAACAGCATCTAATATTTACTTTATCTTTTTATGTGCCAGGCACCAGGCTAAGCATCTTCACGTATCAGCTAATTGAATTCTCACTACATCACAAAACATAGATTATCACCATTTTCAAATGAGGAAACTGATGTTCAGAAAGGTTAAGTTTACAGGCCCAGGATCATACCAATAAAGTGGCAGAGCTAGGATTCACACCCAGAGTAACCCCAAAAGCCAAACTCTTAACCACTATACAGGTTGAGTATCCCTTATATGAAATTCGTGGGACCAGAAGTGTTTCAATTTTTAGATTTTGGAATACTGGCATATATATAATGAAGCTTATTAAGGATGGGACCCAAGCCTAACATGGAATTCATTTACATTTCACACACACCTTATGCACATAGCCTGGAGATAATTTTATACAATAATTGTAACAATTTTGTGCATGAAACAAAGTTTGTGTATACTGAATCATCAGAAAGTAAACCATCACTATCTCAGGCTCTCATGTGGACAATCTGTGGTTGTTTGGCAACACCATCATTTCTGACTCTGAGTTTATATGCAACTGCTAAGCAATCATTTTTCTTATACTTATTCAAATACAAGTACTGATATGGATTATGTCCCCCAAGTTTTATGTATTAGTAGTTTGATCCTCACTGTGACTGTTAAGAGGGTGGGAAATCCTATTATAGTAATTGGAGAGGTGATTAGATTCTGAGGACCAGTGAATGGATTAAAAATGGTGGTAGTGGACTTGGTTCTGAGGACTTGAAACGGAGAATGCATGAGGAACTCTCTTTCTCTCTGCTCTGCCATTTTCTGCCATGCGAGACCCCTGGGTCGCTGTCACCATTACCAAGACCATCACAATATGTGTTCCCTGGACTGTGGACTTCCAAGCCTCCAAAACTGTAAGCAATAAATTTTGTTTTCTTATTATTTACTCAGTTCCAGCTATTTCTGTTATAAGCAACAAAAACAGACTAAGACAAGTACTTAACAATAAAAAATACGACAAACTATTAATACAGTGAAATTATAATGTATTCAGGGTAAACTAAGCAGCACAGAATACCTATATAGGTTCAGCATCCCTAATCCAAAAATCCAAAATCTTAAATGTCAGGTGTGGAATTTTCCACTTGGGATATGTCACCATCCAAAAAGCTTCAGATTTTGGATTTCAGATTTTTGAATTAGGGATGCTTAACCTGAACTGCACACAGTAAGCATCTTAAGTTCATTAGAAAAGTCTTTAAAATGATTAGGTCTACCCAAACATTTGGTAATTCTCTTCATAGCAAGTACACACAAGAATAAGAAAATATGTCACCTACATTTTAATTTATTACTCCTATGATCCAAAGAGAAGACTTACATGGCTTACAAAAAGGACAAATCAAAATCTTCACAGCCTATGTGTTTCAGCCGATGATCTGCTATAAATTTGTAGTATTAAGGAAGTACATCTACTATTGATTCCACACCAAATCTGTTTTTCATGTATGAAACTAAATAGACTAAGAATAAGGGACTATAAAAAAAAACTTTTTTAAATCTAAAATATAATGCTAAATCTACCTTTAAAAATTAGGCCTAAATGATTAAACTCAGTGCTTCATAAAACACGCTGTAAACCACGAAGACACCAAATTCACCTCAGAGCAAACCACCAAAGGTTACAGAGTTAAAGCAGGAAGTCCCATATTCCTAAGTAATTTTTCAATACTCAAAGTGTGTCTGAGGAACCCATTACATAGGCAAATGCCTGCCGCTCCCTAACTTCACTGTAGCCCACCCCTGCTTGCCTCCCCTAAAATCATCCTTCTTATTAAATGGGGATTTGTGCTAGTTTGGTTAGAAGCAATTCAGAAGCTACAATTAATGAGAATGTAAACACTGGGGAAAGAAAAGATTTTCAGGAAAAACAAGCAACTGCACAACACATTTGAAAACTGAAATCCACCTTCACTTGGAACATAAGTCTTAATTAAGTTACAGAGCTCTCAAATATACTCATACCTCACACAAATGAGGTGGTAACCATTCTCATTTAGTCTACAATATCAAATTGTAAGTCTATAGGTTGTAAGCACCATTTCAAAAAACAGAGTTGTTTAGGCACACTAGATAGTTAAATAAGAGCTTTTTGGTTGCCAGGTCTTAATCTCTTAAAAGGATTAAAAATAAAGTTAGTATACATAAACAGATTATGAGTTAAGATTTAACATCATGATTTCTAGACTGGTGTCCATGACCAATAAATTTTAAGACTTGGAAACTCAAATAGGGCTAGCAAATTTTTATTTTTCTAAATAAGGACTTTCATTTTTTAGATCCATCTACTAGCACCATTACTTTATAAAATGAAATCTCAACTCAAAAAAAGACTAAAGGACAATCCTTAAATTGAATACATTTAGTTTTATTTTACAAAGCACTGATAAGCACTTCCTCGAGGCCAGCACTAGTCCTTGAGACAAGCATTTGGGAACCAACTGTTTAAAGGAAAGAATGCTATACACTTATAATTCTACCACTCATTAACTGGAATTATAGACAAATCATTGAATTTCAGTTTTCTCTTCTATGAAATGGGAATAATACTCCACCGAGCTCAAAGAACTACTGTGGGAATCAGATAAAACATACTGAAGTCGTTTGAAAAATGTGACAAGTCACAGAAAAGTCATCTAGACCATAGAACTTACCATCAGCTGACTGCGTAAACAATGCATAATCAGGATTGACTATCTCATTAGATAGAATATCAAACCACTCACGCACAACACCTTGACCCTAAGTTCAAGAAAATAAAATTAAGCATCAACAGAAATATATTATATTGGGAAATTTTTTTTAAATAATAACAAATTTAAAACATATTAAATTTTTTTCCTTTTCAATTAAATATTAAACTTTACTCAGGTACATTTCAATCTTTTAGATATAGTGATTTCTACATCACTCATTTTTATACCCACCATGCCTTCTTCTCCATGGAACCGTACAGCAATCCCTTGCTTTAGCTTTGCACAATTTGCTTTTGACACAACTTCACAGCTACTCCTAAAAATAGAATCTAAATATGCAGCATTGGTTAGTTTTATGCATTAAAATTTACAATAACAAGTAATTTGTGCCTCACACATACATGTTTCTTTGTTAAACATACCTCTATGAACCAGCAAGATATCATTTTCATTCACTGGCCTGTGCACCATGTCTGAATCTGGCTGTCCTGAATGCAAATGTTCATAGAACCATTCACAGCGATCTTTAAATGGCTAGCTCAAAAAATAACAGTAAGATATGTTAGGAGTATTTTAATTACCTGATTACCAGATTCACTACCATGCTAAATGCTCCTTCTATAATCATTCTTAGACCTTTATTCATAAAAAGTGGTTACCAGATAATGTTCTAACTATTCACAAAAAGGCAGATCATAGCTGAAATATTCGACCTACAGAATGTCTTTTAAAAATTCCTACCTTTTCAACAGAAAATACTTGATAAATTAGGTTATATCTAAGAACTTAATAACAGATATGTAATTGAACATATTTATTCTCAAATAAGACATATAAGAATAAATTTTCACATACAGAAAAATTATGTTGCATGTTCCATTTAATGTTTCAGAAAAATAATCTTTTACACCTAACTTTATTCCCATTTCTATCCTTTGGAATCTATGCAGCAACTAGAAAGGAATTTGTTATCCTTTTCCTTTCCCTTTCTCCACCCTAAAAATTGAACAGTAAAGAAAGTCTCTACCTTTTGTTCATCTGCCAGGTAAGCAAACTGCAAGTGATCTGTAATTTTTACGATTAATCAGAAAGTATTATTCAGTACCTAGTATGTGTCAACACTGCAAGTAACATAAGAGCAGCAAAAATCTCAATTTCCTCGCTAAAAACTGTTTAATACAGTTAAAGATTTGAGACTAACATAGAACATTACAATACACATATAATACCAAGTTCTAAACGGTGAAGTACAAACTTCAGATGCACTGAGAAACTGGAGACTGCACAGTTGAGTGGAGTACAAGAGCTTCAATGAGGTCACGGTTTGAACTAGGACCTAAAGCTTGGTAGAACTCGCTCAAGTTGGGAGGAAAAAGGGCACACCAGGTTAAGGGAGCAAGGAAAAAGGCACAAGAGAAACTGTATCTCCTTGCAAGATGTAGTAAAGGCACTGGTATAACTAACCAGAGTTCTATCCCTACACATGTTGAAAGAAATATGTTTATATAAGTAAACTGAGCACATAATTATGGATCCTGAGAATCAAGTAAAAGATACAGGGGACACTGTGGGAATTTGGTCAGAGTAAAAACATGATAAATGCAATAATTAAAATGAATACAACAGCACTAGTATAGAGAGAGGTAATCCAGGTAGCAGTTGCAATAATAGATATTGGATGATAACATCCTGCTTGTGGTAGGAAAGAGAACAATGAAGTAAATCTGAGAGACATTACTCCTTTAAACAAAGATGAAAAGTAAGAGAAGCTATCTAGAGATATAACTTATTAAGAGAAATAACTTAGAGAAGGAATAACACTCACCCCCCCCCCCCCCTCCCCCCCCCCCCCCCCCCCAACACGCTGGGCCA